TTAAAAACTGACAGAATAATGCGATCCAAAAGTATAATAGATACTGTGAAAGCAAAAGGGAAGGAAAGTGCTCTAAAGAGTGTAACGGTATGTATAGTGTAAGACAGATGACCATATTACTGAATTTCTGTTGGAACGCTGAACAGATTTGCACTATTTTTGCTTTGATTTTGTGGCTTTGGCAACCATTTTTTAAGACAATGAGTAATGCAGCAACTAGTGATTCTATAATTTTTTAATTCAGTATTGTTCTACTTTTTTGCTTTTCTATTTTAATTTTCTTTTCCTTGAAAAAGAATAATATGCAATATAACCATTGTTAAATTTCTTTCATTCTGTTTTGAAGACCTGTATTGTTATTGTTTTGAGTCTGCTGTTGTTTATGCCTTTGCTTCTTGTTTTTCTGACTTTTCTCCTTTTTAAACTAAAAAAAAAAAAAAAAAAGTGAACCAGTAACAAATGCTGGTGGGGTAGTGGAAAAAAAAATAACACTTCTCTACTGCAGGTGGAAGTATAGACTGTTGCAACCACTGTAGAATTCAGTATGGTAATGCCTCTAAAAACTAGAATTAGAGGTCCCATACGACCCAGCTATTCCCCTCCTGGGTATCTACCCAGAATTAAAAACATTATACCACAGCAATATATCTGCACCCATGTTAATAGCAGCACAATCTGTAATAGATAAATCTTAGAAACAACCCAAATGTCCATCAATTGAGGAATGGAATGGAGTACTACTTAGCCATAAAGGATAAACTTGAGACTCTTATAGGTAAGTGAATACAACTTGAGACCATACTCATTAAGTAAGACTCACATGTGTAAACACTTATCTCCCTAGTGTGAGCATCTAAAAGTAAATTAAGATAAAAAAGGTACAATAAATATTATGAAATAAGAATTAACTGTTCAAAAAAGAGAAACTGGGATGGGAGAAAGGAGAAAAGAATGAAGGGCAAAGCAATAAATAAATAATACATATGATAGTAAGTTAGATATCTACTTTTTCTTAGTTCACTGAAAAGGTTTGAGCTAATATTGTTTGGACAATAGTTCATGCCTCTATCTTAACTACCATGAATAGCCAACAAAGTAATGTTACTCTCCTACTGCCTGTTAGGAAACTCTTTCCCCACCACTTTGGGGATTTAGCTCAGCAGTATAAGCACCTGCCTGGCAAGAACGAGGTTGTGAGTTTGATCCCCGGTACTGCAAAATAAATAAATAAAAATAAAAAGTTCCTAGTCCCAAAGGGCCTAAGGGACTGCCCTCGTATGACCTACTCTTACACTACATTACATATACTGACTAGCATTCATTTACATATGTATTCAGTCTGCATTGGTAGCATTTATTGACTGGTACAATGCGGGAGATTTAACCAGGGTCCTGTGCATGGTAGGTAAGGGCTCCACCTCTAGCTTCCCCCTAGCCTCAAGATTACTTTAAGTGCCTCAGATCTCAGACTTTGAGACTATTCTACATGTATGATGAAATATATTGGGGGTGAAAATAAAAATTGGTGTCATATGTAACATTATCTAAAGTTAATTTTATACAAGTTTATGTTTTTTATTAGAACCAGTTATACATTAGAAGTGTATACATTACTTTCTGTGGTATCACATCAGTACTCAAAGTTTCAGTCCTGGAGCATTATGAATTAACAGGATGCTCTGGACCCCAAAATTCATTTCTACCATTTTATAGCCAAAAGGAATTTAGAATCTCAATCTCCTTTGCTATTACTGTATGAACACATTTCTCTTTGATGTTCTTAGACATCACATATGTATATTCAAAACTATTATACTTGCCTGACTTAAATGTTAGAGAGACTTAAAATGTTTAGCTTATTTACTATTTTGGTTTACAGTTAAGTATTTAGATTCTTAAAGTCAGTAAAATATTTCAAAATATACAAAAGAATAGTTTCATAATCAGTATAACCACTGATAGAAATACAGTGTTTTAGGGCTGGGGATTTAGCTCAGTGGCATAAGCGCCTGCCTTGCAAGCAGGCAGTCGTGAGTTCGATCCCTGGTACCGATAAAAACGAAAAAAAAAAAAAAAAAAAAAAAAAAAAAAAAAAAAAAAAAAGAAATACAGTGTTTTATTTGTGAACAGTGTGAGACTAATGACTAGCTTTCTGTACTTTTTACTGTTTGGAAAGTTTTATAAACTTGAAGTAATATGCATTTTCTTATTCTTTCTAACACTTCATTTTTACAAAAGAGAACATTCTTGCTTTAAAAATTGAAAATATACAACATAGTTTGTATTTATAACATTTTCAAACTTATTAGTGCCCAGTGCTAAGGGAGAGTGCTTATGAAGTGAGAAAATGAAAATTCTTATAATAATATTGGTAAAACTAAAAGAAATAATGGGTATTACCAGTATATAAAAGCTACTGCACTAGCACAACCTAGTGGTGATAAATTTTAGGTCCAATAAATGCAAGAAAAATGTATTTTTCCTGGTTATTTTAAACTCACTTAAACCACAATAATGCTACTTTTTAAATTCAGAAATGTACCTATACACATTCAGAGCAATTAGAATGTTTTGGTTCTTTTAATGGCATTTCCAACAAAGTCAAAAAGCCATAAGCAAAACTACATGATTCTGGGAAGCTCAATTTGTACACAATTCACTGTTTCTGTATTGTTTTGTTTTTTTGACACAGGGTCTCCCTATGTAGTCAGGCCAGCCTTGAACTTACTATGTAGACCAGGTTGGCCTTGAACTCACAGCAATCCTGCTGCCTCCAGTGCTGTGATTACAGGAATACGCCACCACACCCAGCCACAACTCATTAAATGTTATAAAGTTAAAAAAAAAAAAAAAATACAACCCTCCCTTCCCTCGTTATTCCAAAAAATCTAGTATCACTACTCCAATAAACATAGAATCTCCTTATGACTAGTGTTTTTAACATAAACACTGCTTCATTTCTTTAGCTTCTGTCCCTAACATTCATCTTTAGCTCCCACAGCAACTGTTTTGTTCACATTCATTGGTTATTGATAGTTCTTATTCTTTGTAACAGAAAACTTGTGTATTGGTCCAGCTGGATGTATGCCATGTGGTATATGTGCACTAATTTTCTACTTTTATTAAGGAAGAATAGGAAGCCAAGTTATTTTATTAAAGTATTAATAATGAATGACCTTCTTTTACCAAAGGAAAAAAATCTGTTATGAAATGGTTTTACTCCAGCTCCTTACACTATTTTACATTTCATTCTATACACACTGCAAGTACTTAGAACTTACTGCTAAACTTTCAAATATATGTGGGAAGCATGATTCAAAGGTAAATATAAAATAGTACAGGAAGTTAAGGGATAAGAGCTCAGAGAAACTTTTTCCCTGCAAGTGTTTTTTTACACTACCGGACAAATGTCCTGCAGATATTCGCATAACTCATTTATCTCACGCACTCCACAGTGATCATTACACTATGTCCTATGTATGGAACACAGAATGTAATTAGCCAGTGATCTGAGGTGTAATCCTCTCTCTTTTCCTAAAGATGGTACATAATTAGTACCATTCTTGGTGCCACAGAAGTTGGGGTTTCACTGTATCTTCCAAGCCTGAGAAAGACTGTTAAGCTGGTGATGTACTTTCTCGTTTTTCCCTTATCTTCAACCTACTCTTGCCTCAAGTCACAGTATCTATTTTACTAATAAAAGACTCTGTCCAATACCCAATTCCACAGGGGAAAACAATCTGAAAATACCTTTTTCACTTTCTTTTCTCTTTTTTTTTTTTGTCTTTTTCCTTTTTATCGGTACCGGGGATCGAACTCACAACTGCTTGCTTGCAAGGCAGGTGCTTATACCGCTGAGCTAAATCCCCAGCCCCTTCACTTTCTTTTCAAGCTACACTTTTCTTTTCAGTTCCGACATTTGTCAAATTTGGTATATAACAAGTCATTTTTTGGTGTGACTTTTTAACTTATTTTCCATTCAAAAACAACAAAAATCTTCAAAGTCAGCAGATCTAGAACCTACAATTTCTAAGTACTCTGAATAAAATACATATAAATTCTAAATTATACCTGTGAATGATGAAAAATAAACTTTTTCAAAAGGTAGAGCAGATTTTAAAAACCTTTGCTTGACAGTTTCAAGAAAATAAACAAATGCTTAAGAAGGAGCGCTCCCAACTACAGCGAGGTTTCTGTGATATACGCTAGCTGGGAAATGTGTTCATTTTACTGAGCCACTGCAAATAAATTGAGAATTTCATTATACATAATAAAGATCTTTTACATTATTTGCAACATAATTTAAGACTTAAAGATTATTTTCTTTGCAAACAATGGGGGTCAATATGCTGTCTGTTTAGCTTACACCGTGACAAATTCTCTTAGATGAGTGACAATGATTGCAAAGCAGGAACATCTAAAGTAACTGAAAGCATAGCCCTACGTAATAATACATGGGAAGAGTAGTTACGCTGAATTTTACCAGAAGCCATGGCTGGCATGTCTGCACAGAGCCAGGTGGTACATATCTGAAGTTTTCCACAGTATAGGCTCTGAAGCAGCCACCTAATTCTACTTGAAACACAAGAGCAGTTGAACACAATACACAGAACAATGAGTATGGTTGTGCTCTAGTAAAATTATTTACGAACCGTATATTTCATGTTAATTTTCACATTTATAGTTTTCCTTTAAAAAATCATTTAAAATATAATTGTAATTTTTAACTCACAAGCCATAAAGATGACAGTGAGATGGATGGGCCCATATACACTAAGTGGCTGTCCTTATATAGACCTTTATATATTAAGTGAAATATTGCACACTCCTGCCTTTGAAGACTTCCGTTTTTTACATTTGTCATTTAAAACATTATACCACAAATAGTCTTTGTGAATATACTCATACGAAACAAGAAAAATTCAGAAAAAATACAATTCCCTACTTTAAAAAAAGGAAAGCTATAAAGTGAATCTTAAAATGTGTAATTCAGAAACATGTAAAATGAATAATTAAAAACCTTTATTCTATGCAAAATAAACCAATATGCATACATATTGGTACATAATTGTACTTTAGGTAAAAGATAATGAATAAAAAGGTTTTTAAATCTCAGTATCTTTTACAAAAAGTTGTTACTGAAACCAACGATCACTTGCACATACAACCATCAGTTTTAAATATAGCATGAATTACACCTAGAAATTAGAATTTACCTAAGCGAGTCTGGCTTTTTATTGAACTAGGGCCTCATTTTGCATTCCAGGTTGGTTTTGAACTTACTGTGTAGCCCAGGCTGGCCTCAAATTCATAGCAATCCTCCTCAGCCTCCTAAGAGGTGGGTTTACAAATGTGTATTACACAGGGCTCTGGTTTCTTTTTTCAAATGCGTTATTGTATCATAGAGCACAGCGGCTCCTACAATTTGCGAACCTCTTGAAAAGAAACTTCTGCCTTCATAGTGTAAGAGACAAGAATACTATTTCCATAATTGTCATCCAGAATTAAGAAAAAAAACTTCACAGACTGATTTACCTTATTAAAGGTAAAATGATTCACTGTTACATCTGCTTGAGTTATTCTGATCCTCAGTACTTCTTAAACACAGAATAAAATTCTGCATGAACTCTGATCTGTTTGGTTTTTCAAAATACACAAAATATCTTCAAACAGCCACAGTCCAAGAGCTAAAGTCTCTTTTAACTGAATATGAAATGTTTACCAACGTTATTCTAATTTTACAATACTTTCTGATACTGAGACCTAATTGATTTCTTGTGTCCATCCACGAGGAGCACAAATCAGTCTTCTTTTTCCTGTTAACTTATTTTGTCTTTCGACGTATAAGATCACTTCGTCCAACTTCAATCATCTGTTCTTCCCAAGATTTTATTTCATTACGATAACGAATTTTATCGTCCTCGGCAAGCTGTTCATATACCTGAGAAAAAGTATAATACATGCTTCATCTATAAAATAGCAACTAATTTCTGGAATGTATCCATGTATGCAGAAATCTCATTACTATTCTACATGTGCAAAGGGAGACTAAAGAAAATGTTTTGGTGAGGTGTTAGATAAGAAAAAGGCTAAGAAAGAAAGCTTTTATAAATATTAATTAAGCTGTTACAATTTCTGGATGTGGGAAAGTGGTAAAAGCAAGACAGGATTACCACCTAATAGAGCGGACATTCAAGACTATGAATGATACTGTTTTAAATACTATTTTATTTGCTTTGAAAACTACCAAGAAAGAAATGTCAAATTAACTTTAATAATAGGAAAGTAAATTTAAAATGCTATTATTAGTACTAGTAGGTTATCTTAACATGAATCAATCCTTGCCCTTAGGTATTTTCTCATATTTATTCCAACTGGACACTTGAAACTAAAAGCCCTAACACTTACCTGCTTTTGAGAGTCAGACAAATTTTTCCAGTTTTCATATGCAGATTTCCATTTTGCCTGTAAAACAATATATATTTTAGTAGCACATATGGAGATTTTGGTGATTTAAAAAAAAAACTCTTATTATTCATTCCAACAACAAAATCTCCAACACCAATAATTACAGACAAAGCTGCATCAATTAATATCTTTTCTACATAACTATTAAACAGCTTACTTCTTTCTTCCTGTAGTCTTAGTTTATTTTAAATTGTGTGTCCAACTGTTTAGGTATAGTCATAGGAATATAATTCTCTAAGTCTATTTAGCTGAAGGCATTGGGAGCACCAGTCAAGTGTGAAACAGAAGTGAAGGTAGTACTGATTGATACACTCAATCAATGAAAAAGAAATCTAACCTCATCTGTAACAGATTCTAGCACACTGATTCTTAAGAGAAACAAAAAAGTTCCTGTGAAAATCAGATCCAAGTGAGGGCAACAGTACTGTGCAAAAATCAGAGAAATGGCTAACTATATACAGTATACAGGATAAATAAGCTAAAAGAAAGAAATTAAATGACCAGTTCAGAAGATTCATGTACAAATAATAGAAGTTATTTATAGTCAGAATACAGAAAAGAGAAAGGGAAATAAATACATCAGATCATACACAAAAGGACCAATAATTAAAATGTTTTTGCAGCCACTCACAGACTGCGGGGAGAGAGAACAAGGCTACACTAGGAAGCAAGCCAGTCTGGGAACCAGTGGCATGCACGGGCCACCACAGGACTAGGACCAGACAGACCTAAGCCCCTTCTGGTGTACAGGCTAGTAAACAAGAAGCACCAATTCCCCGCTTCCCCCTAACCATAAGCAACCAGCTTATCCAGAGAAACATAGTCTATGATGATAGATATCAAGGTGAAATGCAACTGGATGCCTGTGCTGCTCTCATTTTTCACTGACATTGCAGGTCTAAGGCCAGTGGTTGGATCATCTGTTCAGAGGATAAAGTACACAGCATGGCATCTACAGGGATCTCCTTCTAAGGGTTGCAGTCATTGTTGATTCCCTATGGTCTTGTTTTGAGGTGCTATATCATTTTCATTGTTTTAATGGGTTGGGTTTTACTCAATTTTGTTTGATTATGTTAAATCTGATATGAACAGCTATTTCAAAGATAGCAAGATATATTATGGTAACAATTTTGGATTTACTATTGGCTTGTTTTGAAGTCCTTTATGGAATTACTTGTCTTGTTTTTATTATTTCTATTCTATTCTGTTCTGTTTGATTTTTACTATGTCCAAAGCTATTTTGAAGACACCAAAAGGCATTACGGTAACTATTGTTGGTTTTATAATGCTTTGAAGTCTTGTATCACACTGGTTTGTTTGGTTTCGTTGTTTTATTCTCTTTAAAATAAAGAATAAATAAAATGCTTTCGCATTTCTCAAAAACAGTATAATGAGTTAGAAAAAAAGCAATACTTTTTTTTTTCTTTTGTTTGGTGCCAGGGATCGAACTCACCACCTCATGCTTGCCAGGGAAGTGCTTATGCCACCAAGCTAAACCTCTGGCTCCGAGAACAATACTTTTGAAAAATGTGAAGAAATATGATTTGTGCCCTAGAATTCTATATTTTCTGTAACAAACAAGTGAGGATAAAGATTTTTAGATAGGTAAAGCTAAAACACTTAATCTCCCATATACCTTTAGTATGGAAAATGCTACAATAGAATCAGAGTAAACCAGGAAAGACAATAGAAGACGATGAAGGAAGAGCCCCAGAAGTTACACACTAAACTTGGAAAGCAAGAGCCAAGCTGGAACAACCCAAAGGCTCCAGACTGAAACTGATGAATATACTTCAAGGTGCTGAAAGCTAGTGAGCATTGAAGAATTTGGGTTTGTATTATTGAAAAGCAAAAACAAAACAAAGAAAAGACCCAATCAATTTTAGGGAAAATAAATTATAGAAGAAAAAAATAATTGTAGGATATGGGACAGCTCAGCTGTGAATAGTATTGATTGGTAAAAAAATAGTATTGATTGGTAAAAATATGTGAATAGTATTGATATGGTAAAGACAGGCAATGCTTATAATTGTAAAAAATAAAGAAGCAGCAATGTAAGAACACTAGGCAAGAGGACTGCTGCAAGCTTGAGGCCAGCCTGAACTACATAGACTCTGTCTCAAAAAAACCAAAAAGGAGTATTAGTAGACATGGAGATAAATACCACAAAAACCAGCTAAGGCAGTGCAATGTGTTTGAGGTATGGAATATTACTGAGCAGTGAAAACTATTTTTCCATAACAAACCTAAAAGAACATTTTCATTTTTTAAACAAATTGTGAGGATGTATAACCACATGTTTTAATGAATCAAAATATAGTCAGGTTATACTTTGCAGGGACAGAAGCCACCCATTAAGCTTCCTAAGTGATTCCATAGTATTGTCAGAGTTGAGAAGCACTGATTTAGAAAAATTCTCTAGCATATAACCTTCCTATAATGAATGATAAGAAAAGTAATTCTACGGTAAGTTAATGACTAAATTCCAACTTAAAAAAATAGGAAAGTTTGCATTTCAGTAATATGGAATTATAGAAATTAAATTCAAAATCCTGAGGCGAGTAATTAAAGTGCATATCCAGGAAAGATAATGTAATACATACACATTATTTAATCATATGGTAAAAGGCACTTATACAATTACAGAACCAAATAACCCCAGAGACAGACTGCCAAAAATACCATTTCAGATTGACAAGAGTTAGGGATGTCAGCACTCATTTCTTTTACCTTGTCATATCATACAGAGAACAACACAATCACCTATGTGGACTTCCTATGAAAGAAAAAATGGAAAGACAGCCCAGCAGTGACTGACAAGCTTTTTTCTTTGACACAATCACATTCCTATGTCCATAACCAAAATTTTATTAAAGGAAATAACATGAAGCAACAGGTTATACTCAATTCCCAATAGAAAATATTGAAGCTCTCAAAAAAAAAAGGTATCTTGGTTCATAAACTTAATTTTTTCCATGATTCTGGTGGTGAACCAAATCAAACTCAGTGGTTAGGTTCAATGTTGACTTTACAGGGAAATGTGATTCAGTTCTCATCAAATTCAGTTTGCAACCAAAACTGGAAAAATTAAGTACATGAACTGAGGTTCTACTGTACTATAGCTCTACTCACATTCTTTACAGTGACTACAGAACTGTCAAGAGCTGAGGAGAAATGTCTCCAGACAAACATTAGCATCTCTATAAATGTGAAAATTTTGTTTTTAAATTTAAAGGGTTGGCAAGGTATCAGCAATGACGGACTCATATAATTGTTTATGGTAAGAAAGGACTTCTTGTGTGTATGTTGGCATGGCTCAAACCCAGAGAGTTACACTTACTAGCCAAGTGTTCTACCACTGGGGTACACTCTCAGCCCAGTATCATTTTTTCAAACAGATTCAATAAATAAGGACCTATCAAAAGACCTTTAATTTCTCTGAGTTTACAATTTTCTTTGACCACCTAACAAATGACAATCCTAGAATTTCCAAGTAATTTTTATTTTTCATTTTTTTCCAAGTAATTTTAAAGAAAATAAATAAATATATCCGAAAAAAATGGAGCTTGCTTTACCTGTATTGTGGTAGCTTCACAGTCTGGAATGTATTCAGCCAGATAAATGTTGTAAGCTGTACGAGGCCTTTTTGGTTTTCCAAGCGTTAATAACTCCTAAATAACAAAAGTATTAGAGTTAGGTATAGTCTTAACCTAAGAATTTTACCTGTAGACTATTCACTACTATGCATTACAGAATTAAAATGAATGCTGTTATTTTTATTTAAAGTATCTATTTTTTTATATTACGGAGTCAGAATATTTTTGAAAGCACTAAATCTTAAAAATTATAGATTTCATGAGTTATTTTTCCAAAATTCTTTCTGTAATTTGTACAGGTATTATTCAGACAATCAAAGGCAGATGTCTTGTGCTCTGGGTGAATGATTTGGGGATGACAATGCCCACTGTATATACCACTGTTAGCCCCTGATTGATGTGCTTTGAGATTTTATCATAGTTTTTCTTCTTCTTCTTCTTCTTCTTATGTTAGAATAAAATGGATTTGAAAGAAATTTCTTTCTTTATATGTTATTTTTATGGTTTCTATGAACTGACTAATTAAACATACATACAGATATATATATATATATACACACACACACACATATATATACAGGTATATATATATAGAACCTTTTTAAAAGATAAAATAATCCTAGTTTCACCCTTGAAGGATACCACTATGCCCTAGCTAGTGACGGTGAACCTAAGGCACACGTGATATTTTTTCAGTTAAGACAAAAGATATTAATGAGCTTTTTCTAAACTAAAACCTCAGTATTCAGATTTAATTGCAGCACTGGTACTCTGCGATAAATAAGTGGGTTTTGGGTTCCAGCTTGAGCACTTGTTTCTAAAAGGTTCACCATCACTCGTCTAGGCCAAATCACTGTATGTCACCATTCCAATTCACAAAAACAGGGCTATCTGTATAAAAATCTCTCCTAATTTATTTCCTCCTTGGATGTTCCTCAATCATCAAAGTAAAACAGATGTGTTAAATTCACTTTTAATAGGTACTAAAGGGGAGAAAGAAAATATGGAAAAAGTCCAATAATCGCTTACTATCTAACTTGGTTTCGTTCTCCAGTTCAGAGAATGAGGGATGCTGTGTTATTGTGTTTAGTTGCTGAATTTGGATAGAAAGTAGCATGAATTTTTATTTGTTTATTTTTGAATTCTGTTGAGGCAGGGTCTTGCAATGCAGTTCAGGCTGGTCTTGAACTCATGGCAATCCTCTTGCCTTAGCCTCCTGAGTGCTAGGATTATAAGTATGTGCCACCATGCCCCCCTAAGAAGTTATAAAATTCTGTGGTTCTTGGCAATTTTGTTATAATCAATAACAAATCTAATTTTATGCGTAAGTAAAAATAGAGATCTTTGATTTACATGTAGAGAAAATCCTTTCTAAATCTCTCAGTTACTATTGACATTACTGTAGACTCTAGGCACTTTAATTTTTAAATTAAACTTAAATACTTTGGTCCACTGTCTGTGGAGACACCCTTGAGGATTTCTCCTGCCGAGGGATTTATCTTCACTTAACTCTTGATCCTCACACTTGGCCCAGATCTCTAAAGGGAATCTTTAATGGGAAGAGTGAGAGTGGAAATGCGAATCCCTTTTATCTGCCCAACCCTCATTTCTAGCTCTCTTCAGCTTCACCATAGGCTGAGTGCCTTGAGGAGGAAGAGGTTGTGAAAGAGGGAAAATACACCTTCCCAAATACCATTTCTATGCTGATACTGTTACTTTTTGTATCTCCCTTCTGGCTCCCTTTAACTATCTAGACCAGCACTTGGACCATCACTGACCTGGAAGTGGGTGAGTCATCAACTTTAGCACTAGGACAGAGGAAACCTCTCGGGTCAGGGAGAAATGCTTTGGCTTCTCACAGTCAAGGATAGAATCTTTTTTTTTTTTTTTTTAAGAGAAATAGTTTTAACTCTGGAGACCATTTTTTAAATAGTATAAGTACTTGACTACAAGTTCACCAACTTAAACATACTAATGGCTCATAAAAAAAAAAAAAAAAAACTTACTTAAAAAACAACCTTTAAGTAAATTAAACTGAGAATCACAAATTTTGAACGATGTGGAGTTTTTAATAATTATTTCTATAAGGAAAAATAGATTTTTATTCTAGAGACCAAAATGGTGAAGTATCCATCAGTAATAAAATATACCCTTTCCAGGAAAACCTGTCTCTGTAGAAACAAAGTAAGCCCCAGCATTGGGAACTCTAGGGAGAAATAACAGATTAAGCCACCAGAACTACACCCAGACAAGCCCACAACTATTAGAAACTTCAACAACAGTATGGGGTTTTATACTGAAAGTTACTCCTGCCACACTGCAGGCTACAGGTAGAAAACGAATTTAATGTAGCACCTGCCATACTGCCAGAGTGTTTAATCAGACACTATTTTGGGTAGAAGTTTATTATTTAAGACTGAACCATAGAAAAATCATCAAACCTCACTTCAGAGCTCTCAATGTCATTCTCCCAGTTACTGGATGAGAGAAAGTTGAGGACAAGCAGTAGGCTTGACACTGACTCCCTGAGAAGTTAAACTCAGGTTTGAAATGACACAGGGCTCTCTGTTCCCCATAGTGAGAAGCCAGGGCTGGCTTGTAAGGCTTTCAGAGGTAGCTGAGTCTGAGTGTGTTGCTGTTCAAAACCAGTAGACTACTTAAATCTTTACTCCACTATTATATCCAGCACAAATAAGAGGTTTAACTGCTTTCCAATCTACCAATGTGAGCAAACATCAACAGCTTGGACTATTGCCAAAACCATGGGAGAATGGACAGGGGCACCTCATAAGCCCACACATGAACACTGATGCACCCAAATTCATAAAACAAACACTACGGGACATAAAAGATCAGATAAACAACAGTGTAATTACAATAAGGGGCCTTAAAACCACACCATCACAAATAGATCAACTAGACCAAAAAAAAAACAAGAAAGAAGTAACAGTTGAACCATACCCTCACACAAATGGATTTAACAGATATCTACAGAGTTCCATCTAACAACAGAATATACATTCTCAGCTGCACATCGAATTTTCCCCAAAACAGACCACATGCTGACCCATAAAGTACACTTAAGTAAACGCAAAAGAATCAGAATTATACTGTAAGTAATAGCAGATCATAGCGCAATAAAAATACAAATGAATGGCAAAAGGAACCATAGAAATTATGGAAATTAAACAATACACTCTTAAATAATCAATGTGTCACAAAAGAAATCAAGGATATTAGACAATTCCTATAATCAAATGATAATGCCAATAAAACATACCAAAATGAGACACAATAGAAAGCAGTCTTAAGAGGAAATAACTGTGAATGCCCACATCAGAAAATGAAATGGGGGCTGGGGATTTAGATCAGCGGCATAAGCACCTGCCTTGCAAGCAGGCGGTCCTGGGTTCGATCCCCAGTACCGATAAATTAAAAAAAAAAAAAGAAAGAAAAAGGAAATGTACACAAATAAATAATGATACACTCTGATATCCTAAGGGAAAAAAGATCAAAATCCAATGCTAGTGTAAGGAAAAAAATTATAAAGACTCGAGCAGAAATTAATGAAATTGAGACCAAACACAAAAATCTTAGAATCTTAGCTGATTTTTAAAGAATAAAATAGACAAACCCTTAGCCAATCTTACTAAAAAGAGAAAAGAAACAAACTAATGCAGCAATTAGAAATGAAAAAGGTGGCCAACAAGAAGACGAGCCCTCCCTGTGAGTCCGTGCCATGTGTGGGCCAGTTGGAAGAGATTCATATACCAGGCCTTTCCAGAGTGCAGCCTGGGAGACAAGAAGAGCCAAGCTCCCCCACTGATCTGAAGAAACACAGGATGCGATGATACCTATTGAAGTAAAATACAACTTAATGCCTATAGTGTTTAGTGTCTCACTGACTTTTTTAGGTCAAAAGCCAGTAGTCTGATCACCTATTCAGAGGATAACAACATGCAACAGAGAATCTATTGGGGGGGGGGGGGCGGGCTCCTCCTGTATCATTTTCATGGCTTTGTTTGGTTAGGTTTTATTCTATTTTGTCTTGATTTTATTATATCCAATGGCCTGGGCAGCTATTTCAAAGATAACAATATACATTATGGTAGACATTTTGAATTTACTATTATCTTATTTTGAAGTCCTTTATTGTGTTCCTTATTTTATTAGTTCTACTCTATTCTATTTTGTTTGATTTTTACTATGACTGAAGATGTGGGCAGCTATTTGGAAGACAAGAGGCATTATGGTAACCACCACTGATTTCCTATTATCTTGCTTTGAAATGCTGTATCATTTATACTGTCTTGTTTTGACTGGCTTTACTGTTTTATTTTGCTTGGTTTTATTCTCATTAAAATAAAAATTACCAAAAAAGGGGGGGGGGGTCGAAATGAAAAAGGCAAAAATCACAATGCATAACTGAAATCTAGAAGATTATTAATAAAACTACTTTAAGAATTTATATTCTGACTTCCAGGAGAACATGGTGGATAGATCAAAGCAGCTATGGAGGCTCTCTAAGATACCCAGCTTAGATTCCAGGAATGGTGTAGTGTGGGGATTCCTAAGAGGGGGAGATATACCCTGCTGATCCAGGAACAAACTAAGCTGAGAGACATGCGGGTCAATGTAAAAATAGAGAATGCAGAAACAACTCCAGGTACATATGTAATCTCAGACAACAGGGCCAAAAACATACACTAGAAGAAACAGCTTCTAACAAAAGGTGCTAGGAAAACTGCCAATCCACATGTTGAAAGTTGAGTCTAGACCCATATCTGTCACAATGTACTAAAGTAAAATCAAAATGGATCGAACACCTAAATGTTAAAACAGAAACAATCTACTGCAAGACAAAATGTATAGAACTCTTAAAGACAACAGGCATAGGCAAGGACTTTCTAAACAAAAATCCAACTACACAAGAAATAATAATCATGCCAGGCACGGTGGCATACATCTGTAATCTCAGCACTTGGGAGGCTGAGGCAAGAGGATTGCTGTGAGTTTAAGGCCAACGTAAACTACAAAATGAGTTGAGGCCAGCCTGAACTGCAGAGTAAGATCCTATCTCAGAAAAAAAGACCAGCAAAAAAAAAAAAAAAAAAACAAAAGAAAAAAGAAAGAAAGAAAAACAATAACCAACAAATGAGATCATATCACATTAAAGTTTCTGCACAACAAAGTAAACCACCAACAAAGTACAGAGACAAACTACAGAATGGGGAACAATTTTTGCCATCTATTCCTTGGATGGAGGACTAATATCTAGAATATATAAATAACTCAAAAAAATTAAACCCTCCCATGAAAGACATAATAAAAAAATGGACAACTAAGATTAATAGATACTTCTCAGAAGAAGTTCACATCACCAATAAATATATGAGAAAATGTTCAACATTGCTGCCCATTTAGAGAAATGTAAACTATAAAAACATTGATCCTACCTTACTTCAGAAAGAATGACTATCACCGTGAAACCAAATAACAAATGCTGGCAAGGATGTGGGGAAATAAAGCACTTTTCCATATTGTTGATAGAAGTGTACTCATAGAACCACTGATAGTTCCTCAAAAAGCTAAAAGTACAAATTCCATTTGACCCAGCTATTCTCCTTCTAGACATCTTCTTGAAAGAATTAAAGACATCATATTCAGAGATATATGCATATCCATGATTATAGCAACACAAATCATAACAGCTAAATCTTGCAAGAGGCCTGTGTCCATCAACTAAAAATGTGATATTTATACATAATAGAGTACTACTCTCTCATAAAGAAGAATAAATTTGAATCATTTGTAGGAAAATGAATGTATCTTGAGACCATAATGTTAAGTGAAATAAGCCAGACCTAGAAAGCTAAACACCACATAGCTTCTCTTATGAGAAACCAAAAGCACAAATAAAAAGCAAAATAAGCTATAATGATAGGATATAGGGAGATAAATCTTTTGCTACAGGGATAGGCACCAAAAGATGGAGGAAAATATGGAGGCAGAGGGCATGATAAAAAGAAAGATGATGTGTATGTATGTACATTAATTCCCTGTAAGAAATATAATCATTGTGTAGAATAAGCAAGTACCAATAAAAGTAAAAATTTTAAAAAGAAAATTCCATTCAAAAGCTTTGTCTGGCTTGATTCCTAAGTTGACATTCTTCTGCACTGTATTAATGAATGAATTCAGTCTCATTAGCGGTGCAGTATCAAATTTCCCACTACCTACTGAACAATTTCAATGAGATTATTCTAGACAAGGCTCTAAAGCAACAAAGCTTGCTGCTCCTGGTTGGATTTTTATAAGTCTCCATATAGCTTTCACCAGTTCTACCAACTATGTATTTCAAATCTGGATACATCGGAAAGTAGCATAAAGGATTTCCAAGACAGACTCAGTAACAAGTGGCCATAGGGGCAAAAGAACTCTCCCACTTTTGCCTGTCTATACCATACCTGATGACATTCTACTACATACTACCTGATGACATGTCATACCACATATTATCAAAATAAGGGAAAGCTACGTATGTTCGTAATTATGTACATTCCAATTCTTTATAATACAAACCCAATGGTTCATTGATACTCACTTTCTTTATTATTCCTTTCCTTTTCAAATGGTTTTGTGTTTTACTTTGTGCCAAAACTGCTCTCTCAGACAAAGACAGTGTTTCATTAATTCTGTTTCTCTCTTCTTTGTATGCCTTCCACTCTTCTTTATAAGCATCTTCATAGATCTATACATTAAAACCCAAACAAGTCAACAAATTGTTGCAGGCCAATTCAACATTGCATATTTGCTAAGGACAACTACTGACTTTAGATAAAGACAGACTGAGTTACAGGGAACAAGTACTCTAAGATAAGATATATGAAAAAGAGAGTTCAGTGGTTGGTAGCAATTTGAAAATGGTAGCTAACTGCTACTCTCTCATAAAGAAGGATAAATATGAGTCATTTGTAGGAAAATGAAAGTATCTTGAGACTATAATGCCCCATTTTCAAATTGTTACCAACCACTGAACTCTATCCCATACATCAATATTTTCATCATTTACATGGATCAGAAGGTACAGTTAGACATCCTAGACAACAGATATTAAAAAACATGTGGGTCATCTTGTTCTTTAAAAGGACATGACAACTTTCTTAATTGCAGAATTACTATTCTGCAATGCTGAAAACATAGCCTTACTTTTTTCTCTGCATCAGGAAGTTCCTTCCATTGCTCTCCAAGTCTTCTCATTATTTCTGTAATTTTTGTACCTATGAATTGGAATAAAGTGAAAAAAGATGTCATAATTTTATGTCTCAGGATTACTTTCTAAAAAGAGTACAATCTATTAGCCCTAAAACTTACATTACAGACACTCTACACCATATTTAATACAATCATTTAGCTTTTCTATGTCCAACTAATTTTAAGTATGGCAAATTAAAATTTTATACAACAATTTGAAAAGCCTATTATTTAATGACTAAGGAGTACATTATAGATCATAAAAGGCGTGATGCAGCACGCCTGCAGTCCCAGCACTTTAGGAGACTGAGGGAGGGCAATATGGCAAGTCTGAGCCAAGCCTAAGTAACTTAGCAAGACCCCTCTACTTCAAAATTTAAAAACAGCTGGGGACATCAGTGGGAAGGCTCTGAGATCACTCCCTAACATGGCAAAAACAAAACAAAAACTCACTTTAAGCAGCTGGGTTTATGAATTGTTTCAAATTTTTCATATCTATCTTTCAATGAAACTTCTTTTTCCTCCTGAGAGGAATTATTAACTTCATAAAACTCCACTAAACCACAAGACATAGTCTTACTTTTTGTAACACATCTCGTATTTCAATTACAAAAATATTATTTGGAACAAACCTATTCTTAAACTAACCCATTATTTTCCATTTTCTTTCTTACCTTTAGTGGAATGCCAGAGTACAAGTGAATTGGCAACCAAGTGTTCGCTTCCAGTCTTACATTTAAAAAGATGTGGGTACTTACACAAGTTTCTTAAAACTAATTCCTCATCTGTAATAAGAGCATGTTTATTACAGCTCATTTGATTGTCACAGGTGTCTTCAGAGGTGCTGCATGTAAACGTACTTAAAAGCCTTAAGCAGGAATTAGCTAAAGCTTTCTAGGCACTCAATGAACATCCTATCCAGAAATCCTTTTTCAGGAACTCAAGAGATAACTTTCAAAGAACAACACATTACGCCTGCCTTGCAAGCAGGCAGTCATGAGTTCGATCCCTGGTACCAATAAAAAGGAAAAAAACAAAACAAACAAACAAAAAAAAAAAACAAATTTAGGGGCTGGGGATTTAGCTCAGCGGCATTAAGCGCCTGCCTTGCAAGCAGGCAGTCATGAGTTCGATCCCTGGTACCGATAAAAAGGAAAAAAGCAAAACAAACAAACAAACAAAAAAAAAGAAAAACACATTAACTTAATTCCTTCCATGATTCTTATCACAGAATTGGTTCTTAACTCTAACCCACATGGGACAAATTCTGCAACCAGAATCACAGAAAGAAATTCGTGAACTGAGGCAACACTGTAATTTAGTTTCAGAACACTTCCACATAAATTATTTTATTGCAACAATATGAATACACTAATGCAGAAGTAGCAGCCAAGCTAGGTGTAATGATGTATGCCTATAACCTCAGCATTTGGAAGGTTAAGATAGGAGGACCACCATAAGTTTAATTAAAAAGTGAGACCTCATCTCAAAAAAACAGAAGGAACAGTAGCTAAGCAAGAGATATTTGTCTGTGGTACCCTAAACTAAAGACAACTAAACCCTAAATTCAACTTTTTCATTCTCTTCCCAGGGTACTTTCCAAACTTCAAGTTATTTTAAATATGCAGGTCATTGGTCCTCATTTTTAAGTATTTCTACTTGGTATGGAAGTGTACATCAAAGTGTACTATTTAACAACTTCGTGGACTTTTTTTATGACATCAGAAAATAATACCACCAACCCCAAAACTCCTTACCTGGGTTCTGAGCTCTAGTTATGCTCAACTTTTCTTTTAAAAATCGAGCGTATGCATTCGCAGGTCTCTTTGGATATCCATTCGAGGTGGATGAAAACCACTTTGGAACATACACAAAACTATACATAAATATAAAAAAAAAAGTCAGACATTTTTTTTTTGGTAGCCAAGTTTTATTAAAGGTAGAAAAAAAAAATCAGCTCCTGAAGAGCTAGTTTGGGCCAAGTAAACGTAGGAAAAGAAGTACACCCTACAGCGTGAGGGTGGGCCACCATACAAACGAGAACGTAGCAGCCAACGTCAGGCATTTGCTAATATTGACATGCACAGGAACAGATTCCAAATAAGATGTCATCAAGATGCTATACAGCTGATACTTTCACCAAGAATACTAACAGCACTTATCTTTTTAGGGTCCCTTTGTCGTGTGGTGCCGGGTCCTCTACCACTCAGCTTCATCCTTAGCTCTTCTGATTTACTAAAATCATGCCCCACCCAAAAAGAAAGGTCTCCAGGCCTTACGTCCCACAGTCCTGATCTCCTAGCTTGGGTAAAGTGGCGGAAAGCATCTATCCTCCAGCTCCTGGGCTCTGCACTTTTATCGCCTGGGTAATGGCGGGAGAAACCTAACCAGCGCTAAAGGTGGAACAATGGGGAAGGGCGGAAGAAGAGTAACAGGATGTAGAGTACTACCAACATAAGGTTTGCTCTCAAATCCCTTGGCAAGGTCATCTGCATGAAGGGTGCAGGGTTGTAGAAATCGAAGGACAGCGTCGGCATCCCAGCCCTGAGACGACCCAGGCCCCGCTGTTCTCCCGTGGCGCGACTGAGAAATCCTACCTGAAAGGTGAGCGCAGTCTACTTCCACAGCCGGCGCACAGCTCTGCTCCAGACCTTCCCAGAGCCCTCGCCACGCTCCACACACCTCGGAGGAGCGCCATCGCACCGGCGGACGACGCAGTGGCCCAGCCACCCGAATAACGAACAGCCAAGGTAACACTACCTGAAGCGTGCGAGGTACCCTACTAAACCTGTTATCATGCCCGCCACTCGCGAGGCACTATGGGAAGTCAGTCAACATCCGGTCTGGAGGTGGGCGGGGCATACTGTGCGCAGGCGCAGTGGCGAATGCCCGTGGGTGCGGGGGATGAAGGGATCGAAAATAGTCGCGCGGTGAAGGGTAGCCGCAGGATCATCGCCTGCAGAAGACCTTGGCCTCTAGAGGGCGTTGGTGATCAGCCTCTGCCCCGGGTCGTCCCCGCAGTCGATCCCTTAGCTGGATCTGGGCGTTAGTTGAGGGACCGCGGCGGCCTCACCTGGCTCCGACACCCACCGGAAGGCGTAGGCTTGAGGCGGCCCAGAGTGCACGTCACAGGCGGTGTACGGCAAGCGCAAGGGGCAGCTGTTCAGCCTGCGCTGCTCCGGGTACGCGCGTCCTGCAGAACCCAGCGTTCAAATAGAGGGCGGAGAAAGCGATGGATTCACAGCTCTGCAAATGCAGATTCCCAGGACCTCTCGCAGAGCTGCTCGGTGTGTCTGCATGGGGCTCCTGAATATGCGTTTTTAACACTACCCCGATGTCTAGCAAGTTCTAATGCATTGGTTTTGGACCTCATTTTAAACAGTGGATTTAGACTGTCCGCCCATTTACTGCACAATGGAGTTGCCCTCCAGCTCTCCTTCATGTGACCAGAGGACGCTTAGGCTATGGAACCACAAATTCGAATTCTGTCCCAGCATTGGCATTCACATTATGTTCTAGGACTGTCGTATCCCCTACTAAGTTTCAGTTTTGCCCTTCTGCAGATGGGGTGGGTTAGATGAGTTTTTCCAACTCCCCGAGAAAGTATGACAAGTACTCCTTGCGATACTGATTGATGTGATGTACAAGTGTTGATTTATGTTGTATATGTAACAATTTCTGTACAAACAGTTGTATGGATAAGATTAGGAAGACCTAAAGATATCTAAATGTTCTTGCAGCTGTTGAATATCAGTTGTCTTAAAAGATAACCATCTTGTAGGATTGCCATTCTGTTGGATCTCTGTAATTGTTAAAATTTTCTTACCAGCATAAAAAGTGTAAGAGTTGAGAATCTGCTACCTTTCTGTGACGGCCAAACCCTGGCCCACTTCTTCTTTTAAGTGGTAAACAAGTATTACCACTTCCTTTTTCATAAATCCTCAGGGTTACCAGGGAACTTCCAGGTCATCTGTTCAAACCTCTCCTTCTGTCACTGAAGAAACAAACTTTTCTGAGTATACACTATTAGCCAGTTGCCAATAAAAGGCAAATAAAAGACAGCATTTCCTTATTAAAGTCTGATGGCACAGACAAAGAAGTAATTACAACACAGTGCCAAGATGAAGTATGGGATAGGATCCCTCATAATTTCATTTAAGATGTTTTATAAAACAGTTTGTTACCTCGCGATTTTTCTAGAATATTTTCTTTCTTTCAGATTTGGATTTCTTAAAAATGTTTTCGTGTCACTTTGAAAATTCTTGCTGTAAAGTTCTTATACATCAAATTGATCATATTTCTATTTTCATCATATACAAATCATCTTTAAAACTCATCTAAGTTGCATTTCTTTAAATGTATTTACAAAGAACTATATAGCTCCTCTTACTCAAACTATCTTTGGACAAAAAGACATATGGTTTTGTTTATATTTACTTTATAAAATGAAGACTTACTATATAATCTTTGCCAAGGTTCTTTTCCTTTGTTTCAAAAGTACATCCATCCTCATAACTTCAACTGTAAGTTACATCCTCATGATTCTCATATTTTATATTAAGTCCAGACCTCTCTTTGAGTTCCTTATACTCAAAGAGTATATACTCAAAAATTTTACTTTTACTACTATGCATCACATGTACCTCAACACTCCCTGAACAAATTTCATCATCTTTCCTTTATCTTGAACTCTTAGTAAGAGGCATCAATTTTCCACATCACGCATCCAAGTCAATAACTTGATAAATTATTCTAGAATCTTCCCAACTGATACTCCACCTCCATGATCCCAAATGATGCTGAGCCTACCTTATCCATCCTTCTAGGATGTGACTTTTCTCCAGTCCTGTTGCTGTTGCTTTTGTTCGTAACACTAATATGTTTACAAATCAGCTTTCAATAAAAGAAAGCCCTCATTTGTAATGTTTGCCATGTTCTGTAGTGTAGATTCTCCCACCCTGGTTGATCTCAGCCTACCAGCCTGAAGTCACTGAATCTGAAGTTGGGTAGAAATGAGCTGGTACTCTATCCAGTACCAGCTGAGTCAGGCTCTGGCATCTTCGCCCAAATTCTTACAGTAATTTCCCAGTCTTAGTGCTCTTACTTTTATATCAACGTGTACCTACAGAAAATAAGAATTTCTTGTTAGAAATATCATTTGCCACCAGAAGGCAGTTGTGCATAGAGATAAAAACTGTGTACAATTTTAGAATATATGTGTGAAAGTAATGGTCTTGGTTAATTGATGCCTGCATATTGGTGAAACAGAAAGTAGCACCAATGAGTAGTAGCAGGCTAAAAACCTTGATAATTCATTGCTAAATAGATTCCCTGCTGAATAATGGAGGGTTAGATGCATGGATATCACTCAAATGAAGTAAAAATATTACTAAAAGAAGAAACAGCCATGTTTTTAATAATGGACAAATAATTAAGCTACAATCAGAGTGATTCCCTAACAGCTCTAGAACGATAAATAGATGTGATTCTGATTTGGGGATGGTGGCATACACCTATTATCCCAGCCCCCTGCCAAGCTGAGATAGGATTCCAAGCTCAAACTCAGCCTGGGCAGTTTAATGATTTAGCAAGACCGTGTCTCAAAAATAAAAAATAAAAATAGGCTGGGAAATGTGCCTCAGGACCACAAAAAAGTGATTCTGAATTTATAAGTAAAACATGTCTAGAAATAAGATCTTACTACAACCCTGCATTCAAAGATAATACTCATCAACAATACTATAGCAGTGTAATAGAAACTGGAAGGGGCAGAAAATGATAGAACATTGTAACTATCCGCAAGAGGTCACAGTCTGATTGAAGAAGCAACATATAAACACAATTATAAAAATGCAAAAATTCACTGAAATAATATGAGAAACATTTTGCAATTCAATTAAATATCTTACTTTATTTTCTTTAAATCTAGTTTAAGAAATTATATGTGTAGAAAACTATGTGTAACTTTTTCTTCCTAATCTTTTTCATTCCCTCATGGTCAATCTTTACATCACTGGAGTTTGCCTTTTAGATACAAAAGGAAGGAAAAAAGAAATAGAGAAATTTGAAGAAAGAACAATTGCATGTTAATAGTTCCCAGCCATTCAAATTAGTTTATAAATGATCTTTCAATCACAAAAGGTCTGCATGCGGCTTATTAAGGACATGTCAGAATTATTTTTAGCCACTGCTGTAACAGCATTATGAACAATAAATATAGCTTTTCTATTTTAAAGCTGATTCTGTGAGTCAGTAGAACAGAGGACAAGGAAAAAGGACAGCTATAATTCTATGCAAATGTATAAGCCCCAATTCAATTATGTTTCTGGAAAGTCCTGAAAGATGACTTAGAGATTGGAAGAAATCTATAATGAGTAGATTGATGGGATGCTGTTAATAAGACAATATAATCCATTGTATCTACCATAGTATTATTATGAAGCACTTGATCAATATAAATAATTATAATTTATTCCTTATTATTGTGCCTAGTGTTTTACATATATTTTCTCTAAACCTCCCATAAATCTTGCAAGGTGACATTATTTGTATTTTACAGGTCTGAAAACAGGTATTCGGAGAGCTATATATAGAAAGGATATCTTCCTTTTTAGTATTTTGTTAACAAAAATTTTCCCCTTTAAATTCACACTTGCAGCTTTTAAATTACAGTTTATTCTATATAAGTACAATATAGACAAATCAGTCATGAAGCTGTAGGTTTAATGCTTGCTCATAGTCTTGTTTTTTCTGTTGCCTACTCTTCCTTGACTTTGTTAGCTGAGTGGCATTTCCCTTATTTGTGCTTTCATCTAGTTATTCAAGTATTTACTGAGATTTGAATTTAACATAGTTACACAGCCAGACATACTGGTACATCCCTCCCCCAGCACTCACTAGGGAGGCTGAGATAGGAGGATTACCATGAGGTAGAAATCAGGCTTGGCTACTTAGTGACTTCAAGGCCAGCCTGAATTATAGAGTGATACCCTGTCTCAACAACATAGTATTAAAAAAGTTACATATATGTATAGATAAGCATAATTAAAATGAATATAAAGTAATACAAAATTTGGTTTAATAGTGATTATATCTGAGTATGCACAAATGAGTGGGAGTACTCATTTTATTTTATGTAAGTTTATATTTTTTTCTAACATACCTTAGTAATATTCATGTCTTATAATAATTTTTTTACATATTGGAATAAAGGCTTTTATTCAAACCCAATTAAGGGTCCTGTGAAGAATAAAAGGTACAAAAATAATAGCAAGAGGCAGAAGAGGAGCTGGGCAGATCTGGGGTGCCCTCACCGGCCTCTCTGCGTGTCTGGAGGACTCTGGATATCTCCGCCCAGACTGCTGGAGTTCCCCCAGGCTTCCAGGTGCAGTGAAGGAGAGAGGTGGGTTTGAGGCTTCCATATCAGCCTCCCCATTCCGGCTCCACTTGGAGACCTGCTGAGCTGCGGACGGATGGGCGGGCCCACACTATCAGCCTAGCCCAGCCTGTTTAGCTGCTGCGCCTGGCCATAGGTCTGCAGAGGAGGAGCTGGGCAGATCTGGGGTGCCCTCACCGGCCTCTCTGCGTGTCTGGAGGACTCTGGATATCTCCGCCCAGACTGCTGGAGTTCCCCCAGGCTTCCAGGTGCAGTGAAGGAGAGAGGTGGGTTTGAGGCTTCCATATCAGCCTCCCCATTCCGGCTCCACTTGGAGACCTGCTGAGCTGCGGACGGATGGGCGGGCCCACACTATCAGCCTAGCCCAGCCTGTTTAGCTGCTGCGCCTGGCCATAGGTCTGCAGAGGAGGAGCTGGGCAGATCTGGGGTGCCCTCACCGGCCTCTCTGCGTGTCTGGAGGACTCTGGATATCTCCGCCCAGACTGCTGGAGTTCCCCCAGGCTTCCAGGTGCAGTGAAGGAGAGAGGTGGGTTTGAGGCTTCCATATCAGCCTCCCCATTCCGGCTTCACTTGGAGACCTGCTGAGCTCCCGATAGGTGGGCTGGCCCACACTACCAGCCTAGCCCAGCCTGTTTAGCTGCCGCGCCTGGCCATAGGTCTGCAGAGGAGGAGCTGGGCAGATCTGGGGTGCCCTCACCGGCCTCTCTGCGT